TTTTGTAAACTGGTCTGCAATATTTTCTTCCATCATGCAGTACTCTAGTTTAATTAGACAATTTTTAACAGATTCTCTAACATTTAAGTATCTTAAATCAGTATGCTTTGATCTAGTCTTTACAGCAATATTAGTAGTTAACTGTATAGCTGCCTGGTTGTCCTCGTACACAATAATAGAATCTTTAACAGTTATACCCATGTCTAATAATAACTGTTTGTACAGAATTAAGTCAGTGCATAGTAATGACAGACATGAAAATTCTGCTTCCATCGTTGACAAGCTAATATGCTGTTGTCTGATTGACCTCCACCCTATTAATGTCTTACCAAATAATATAGCCATCCCAGATGTTGATTTTCTAGTATTTATGTCAGTTGCAAAACTTGCATCTGCATAGGCACTAAGATTCAAATCACCTTTTGGCTCTAGATACAATGCATGATGCATTGTTCCTTTAAGATATCTTAAAATTCTCTTTAATGCTTGCCAATGACATTGATGTGGATCATTATTATATCGTGCCAGCTGATTAATACTATAAGATATATCTGGCCTTGACCAATTGCTTATATATGATAAGCTACCAATCAAAGATTGATATATGGTCTTATCAAATTTGGGACTTTGAGCATCAATTTTGCAAATTTCCTGATTCATTGGAGTCTTTGCAGGCTTACAGAATTCCATTTTATACAATTTAATTAATTGGCAAATTTTATCCTCTTGAGATATCTTAAATCCTTTTGTGGTTTTATTAATTGTCAATCCTAGATACTTTTTAATTTCACCTAAATGCTTTAATTTTATCCTTTTGGCTAATAATGAAATAATCTCAGTAGCTTCATTATTGGTCTTAGTAATCAAAGCAATATCATCTGTAAATAATAACAATAATGACACCGTTCCATTATTTTCTCTTTTAAACATACATGGATCTGCTAAACCAGATTTAAACCCTATATTGTTTAATTCTTTCACAATATATTGGTTCCATTCATAGCCAGATTATTTCAATCCATATAAACTCTTCTTGAGTTTCCAACAATCATTGCTATTTACTTTATTATCATTTATACCAACTGGTTTTTTCAAATATATTGTATGCTGCAATGGTGCATGTAGATATGCAGTTTCTACGTCTAAATGGTTAAGTATATAATTCTTCTTAGCTGCTCATACTAAAGCTGCTCTTAAAGTTGTAGCCTTAAGATTTAGTGCAAATACCTCATCATAATCAAATATATTTTGGTTAAATCCTTGTGCTACTAACCTAGCCTTATAAGTTACTTTCCCATTATTTCCAGTCTTCACTTTGAATATCCATTTGCACCCAATGGATTTTTCTCCTGGAGGTAATTTGGTTTCTTCATAAACCTTCATTTCCTTTAATGAATTTAACTCTTTTTCCATTGCCTTTTGCCAATTCTCCTGATCCTTAGCAGGATACATCTTAAGTTCATCTATGCTAGTAGGAACTTTATTTACTTGGCAAACAATACTGGCCTGATACCTATCAGGTGGTTTGGTTATACGTGTTGCACGTCTAGGTATAACAGGACTTACAGGTGGACTTTCCTTTATTTCCTGTTCTTGACTATCTATCTCTTCTTGATCAATTATTTCCTCTTGATCTGATTCTATTTGCTCTTCATGGACTTTTTCTTTAATTGGACTTTTCTTATAACTAGTCTTTTCTTTCTGCCTCTTGTAGGGTTCTATAATAACATCATTATCTGAATCCTGCTCTAATCTATTCCATCCTATATGTTCTAGGAATTGTGCACTAGCACTGCAGTATACTTTAGATGTACCTGGTTCCCAGAATCTATAAGATCTATGGTTTGCTTGATATCCAACAAAAATTAATCTTTTAGCTCTATGTTGTCCTTTGTGCCTGAGTTGTGTAGGGATATGCACCCATGCTGGTGCACCAAATGTGTGAATATAACACAAATCAGGTTTCCTACCATGCCACAGAGTGAATGGTAATTCACCTGTTGTTGAATTAACAACATTGTTTAATATGTGATTCCCACACATTATAGCTTCTCCCCACAAATTGTCAGGTAATCCAGAATCAGATAACATTGTCCTTCCCATTGATTGCAGTGTTTGGCCTCGTCTCTCTATAAATGCATTATGTTGAGGCCTATATGGTGCAGACTTTTTATGTTGAATACCTGCCATTCTAAGTCTATTCTGGAATTTATTATTTGTAAATTCTGCACCATTATCTGTTATAAGAGTTACTAATTTTATTTTAGTTTTCCTCTCTGCAAATTTTAACCAATTAAAGAAATTTGTATACGTTTCAGTTTTTCTCTTCATTAAAAAACAGAAACCATACCTAGAATAGTGGTCCATTATGCTTAATATGTATCTAGCACCACCTACACTTGGCTTTTTAGGACCTATTATATCGGCAAATACTACCTCTAAAGGCTCTTTGGTAGTAAATCCATCAATTCTATTTGCCGGTATAACTTTGCTTTTGTTTTGATTACAAGCAGAACATTGCAAATACTTATTACAAGGTTTCAAACTTATTCCTTTAGATAGTTGAACAGTTCTCTTAATCATTTTAAAATTTAAATGACCTAGCCGTTGGTGTAACAAGTGAATACATTCATTATGAGGTTTCTTATTATCATAAACCGTGTTAGCCACCTCTAAACCATTATCATTTAACACATATAAGTCACCTCTTAAAGATGCAGTAATTTTCTTACCTTCTTTTTCAATTAAACAAGTATCTCCCCTAAAGGTAACTATGTATCCTAATTTAACCAACGTTCTAACAGAAAGCAAATTAAATTTAAGTTGAGGTACATATAACATTTTTATGTTCTCCTTTATACTAGAACAATGAGCTATACCTTCACCTTTTGCCTTCATTTTCCATCAGTTTGCCAATGAGATATGCTGTGAACTCATGGACATTTTTACAAATTTTTTGTTATCATTTGTAATACAGTGGGACGCACCACTGTCAACCACCCATAAATTATTTTTTACAACTCCATTACTATACATTGCTAACTCATAATTCTTATTTCTTCTTTGTTGGCTTCCAGCATTCTGGCTTGCATTCTGGCGCTTTGGTTTCTTACAAAATCTTGCCAAATGTCTTCTCCCTCCACAATTAAAACACTTTTTAATTGCGTATGCAGTAGGAGATTCATTATTTTCCTTTTGAGGTTGCTCCCTCCTTAACTGATCTCTTTCAAGCCTTCTTCTGGCCTCTTCAATCAATCTGCCAGTGATATCAGTTAAAGTTAGGCTTTCTTTAGGCAATATTTCAAGGGAAGTTACGTAGTCATCAAAACTTTCGTCTAATGAAGATAGAATTATGTAGACCTGGTGTAGTTCAGAGAAAATTAACTCCTTCTCATGAAGTTCTTGAAAAATGCTTTTCATAGTATTCAAATGACTCAGCATATCACCATTCTTTTGGAGATACATGCAAAAAAGCTTCCGTGTTAGATTTATGTGAGCACCAACGTTATCTCGGACATAAATCCTCCTCAGTTTTTGCCAACACCCAACAGCTGTTTGCTCTCCTCGTATATGAACAAGTTGCTGATCAGATAGTGTTAGTCCTATGACGCAAAGAGCTTGTTCATTTTTCTGTTTAAAGTTTTCTATCTTTTGACTATCTTCCTCATCTTCAGAATCCCATTCCTTTACGTTTGGTGGGTTTTCTATTATGTTCCACAGACCTTCTCTTCGTAGAAGTAGACTACATTTCATAGACCATGAAACATAGTTTGTTCCAGCTGTCTGTTTACTGTAACGTGTAACAACACAAAATCTCACTTTTTTACATAAACCTGTTTTTATCCCAGTTAAACTGACTTTGCAGTCTCTCTGGGCCCATAACCAGTGTTAAGCCTGGATTCCCCAACGGGTGTTAAGGAAAACAAACTAAACAGAACGTGCAGCGAAGTCAGATAGGAAGACAGGTAAATGTGTGAGATAAGTATTCTAGTTAACACGCAGTAAAAATACAGATACGCTTGTGCTACCAAAAATATATTTTATTCCATTTAAGAATTATAGCATAGTCAAAATAAACGGTCCATTAGTCATATATCAATTTCAGTCAAGTCTTGTCGGGGATACTCTATTTGCAAAGTCCGTGTTGAATAGCCAATGTCAGTTCACTTACAATATATCAGTCCAATCTTTATCTTCTCTCCGTTGAGAAAACCAACACTCCTTTTTCTCTCCCCGTTCCAGCAACAACGCAGTCATCAATCCATCCAGTAATTAGGGATCAGTAAGCCAGAGAGAGCGAGCTGCAATTGCCTCACTTCTTATATAGTGCTTTTATAACCACACCCTTAATTACATTCTTGCAGTTAAAGTTACACACACTTTAACTAACAAACCATGATACCTTATTTATTATTTTTACCCAAACCAGTTAGGGTAAACAATGTTATCCCTAACAGGCCCCTCCCTTGTTTCCCGGTTGTAGCCGAGGTGGGGGTCGCGGCAGGGCCCCTCTCGCCCCCCCCCCCATTGTCTGGGTCGGAGTGGGCTGCCTGGAAAGAGGCAGGGAAGGAAAAGCGAAAGCGAAAGAGGGAAACTGAGGCATTTTCAGCCCTGAAGCCCCAGAAGGAAAAAGAGCCAAAGAATTTTGGCTTCTGCGGAAACTTTGCTTTTTCTTCTGAATCTCCGATTTGAGGCTTTGGAGGTCAGGCAAGAGGGGAGCTTCGGTCCCTTCTGGGGGAGGCTCTGAATTTGGGGAGGGGACCAAGAAGCTTCTGCCTGCCCTCCCCCCACCCGGAAGGGATGTAGGGGGGGTTCCTGAAGGATTCTCCTCCCTTCCCCCTTTCTTCCCCCCACTCTGCCTCCCCCTGAGAGTGAGAGAGTCCCCCCTCCCTCCTCCAGGCGCGTCTCCCATCAGTCTCTCAAAGGAAGATCCCCCCCACCCTCCCCTCTTCCTGGTGGGACCCTCCTCCTCCTCCTCCTCCTCTACTGGCGGCTGGGAGCAATGGGCCCTGGAGTCCCTCCTGACGGCCTTCCTCCTCCTCCTCCTCCTCTTCCTCCTCCTCCCCCTGGCAGCCCATTTCCTCTACCAGGCGAAGCACGACTGCCGCTTCCTCAACGGGACGCAGCGGGTGCGGTTCCTGGATCGGTACTTCTACGACCGGCAGGAACACATCCGCTTCGACAGCGACGTCGGGAAGTTTGTGGCCGTTACGGCGTTGGGGCAGCCGAGTGCAGACAAGTGGAACAGCGATAAGCAGTGGATGCAGTACAAGAAGGCCGCTGTGGATCGTTTCTGCCGACACCACTACGGGGTATACAACTATGAAGCGGCCAAGAGGGAGGAGCAGCTGATCGGCCGGAAAGGTGAGTCCTGGGGAGGGGTCTCTTCTTCCCTGGGAGGGGGAAGCCGGGACCCCCCTTCCCTTTCCTGGCATCCACTGGGGATTCTCCTCCCGGGTGACGGTTCCGCCTCCTTCTTCCTTCTGCCCTCTCAGAGCTCTGGAATCTCCCTCTTCTCCCCCGGATCTGAACTCTCCTCCTGTCCGGGATCTGGGATCCCTTTGATCCCCCCAGGAAATCCACCTAAATCTATGATTTTCTTCTTTGGGGGGGAGGGGAATCCAGCCAGGTCTCTCTCTCTCTCCCTCCCTCCTGCTCAATACAGGGAGTCCTCCGCTTAAAACAGTTCACTTAGTGACCGTTTGAAGTCACAAGGGCAGTGAAAGCAATGACTTCTGACCCTGTTTCACACTTATGACCATTGCAGCCTCCCCAGGGTCCCCTGAGCCAAATCCAGGTGTTTGGCCACTGATTTGTACTT